ATGACGGTGATGATAAAATTGTAGTTTCACAGGATAAACCAACTGTATAAATATAAGATCTTTAGGCATTTACCTGCCCATGTGGATTGGGGGCCATTTCCAGCCCTTGCTACCGTATCGCTAGGTCGACGCCTTGCTCCCTTCCCAGAGACGACACCGTTATAATGTAAATTTAGTCGAGTGTGACAAGATCCTAAGTCACAGTTGGGGTCGATGTCATGTAGATTACCGAGGGCAATGGAGGATATTATAATAATCCCATTTCTCTCTATTAGACCAGCATTCCCTATTACAATCAAGCAGATAGATCGCACAGAGGCTGCACATTGTTGATGCAGGTAAGCATTCACGGGATAACCAAGCAATAAGTTAGAACCCCAGCACACATTACGCTGCATGCATTAATAACGATACGGAAATAATACAACGAACGACTGTATCGCCTGTCTCACTGAGTCGAGTCGCACAGGGCATCAGGCTGAGGGTTCATAACGGGCCCCTTCCCAGCCGGTTGCTCTCACTTCAGTCGCCCATGCCGGGCTTGATTGATGATGAGCGCGCGCGAGCACAATGCCGGACCATCCCAGCGGCGATGGAAGGTGGGTCCACCAGGGGTAGTAGGTGGAAGGCAGTCAGGACACCATCCGACAGCACCTTAGACTCGCATCCGAACGACAGCGGACACCTCAAGACATAACTTATTGAAATCGTTGTCCTCGTGCACAGAGGGAGTAACTGTGCAAGCGCTAGGCTTAGCACAATGAGACGTGAAAGTTACGTGGAGAGTAAAGACTTGTTGGCTATAGAGTCATATGCTTCGGGCTAAAAAGAGAGATAAATTGCTGATGGTGAAAACTGGGGTCATGTTCAAATTGGTGTCTTAAACCGTTGAGGAAATTACGTTGAGAGGGAAGACGAGTAGATTGGTAATTAAGAATTTACGCAAAACTGTAACGTCTTATTTATGGTCCCAAATATACAAAATTTCATATGACTCCTTTGAGGCCTCATGAGTGGTGGGTATTGGTGGCAGGACAGATGGGTGTCGAACCTGAAGAAGAGAAGGAGGTAGTGCAGCCCACCCTGAAGTCCCTGGATTCTTTCAAATTCCACCACAAAACCATCAATGTCAAAAGAGAAATTGACAAATGACGTGGGGTCATGGACTGTGGTGGAATGTAAGGCCAGGGTGAAATCTGCCTTCAAAAATTCCTCAATGCTAGCATGCTTTCTGAATACATGCCATAAACTAGTGCTGTTCTGAAAGCCAACATCAAAAAGGTCATTTCCATCAGCCATCTCTGTTGCATGTGTTCAGTAGGACTGTCAAACAAATGCGTATGAGGATCAATTTAATTCAATTTCAATTCAATTAAACATTTGTCAATTGCCATGGAATAGTAAGTCTTAAAAATCTGGGACCTTGACCTACCCCCCCCTTTTCATTGGTGTTGCTCCCAAGTGCAAGCTATTTTGCGTTGAAAAGTTACGCCTATTTTGAACCTCAAAAATGCTGTATCTCCGCAAACGAATTTAATTCACAAATTATTATCAGGGATTGTTTGTTATCATGGATTTAAATACATAACTTTTTCTGTGAGCGTGCTAGAGTGATGGAACCAGTATCTATCCCCCCATTATCCACCATGACCTTTCCATTCGTACTGGTCTGAAGTGGGTGGGAGTTGTCGTTAAAAAGCTACGGCCATTTTGAAGATGAAATTGTTGTATCTCGGCAACCGAAGATCGTAGAGACTCTGGGACAGCTCTCCGGGATACATCAATAATAACTTAAAAGAAAATCCAGTAAAAACAAAAAAGGCACCATGCTTCTTGCTGGGTAACAGTCAAAATATCTATTCCTTTGACATTTTTTATCATCCTCAATCTTTTCAGCTTCACAGTGTAGGTACGTATCCAGGTTCACCAGAGGGTCCAGGTTCAGTAAGGATTCCTCCAAGACAGTCCAGAGTTTGGAGGTGTTTGCAGGCAGGCACATGGCAGGAGACCGTATCATTGGTCGAATGCCATCCTGTTCCTTAGCAGCCTGCACATCTTCCTCAGACTGGATGGGTTACTCCTTAGTATCCTCAGTCGTTCGTGGTATGTTCCACTTTGGTCCTGGTGGGACTCGCACAGGGATGCTCTCGTGGATCTTCCAGATCAGTACATTGTAAACTTTTGGCAGGTTAAACCTGGATTGAATCTGGAGCTTCTGCAGCTGTGCCTGCGACATGATATGTCCCATGTGTGTAATCATGTCTCTGAGGTGGTTGTACTCCACGAAATCCCCATTCATGATTAACCCCACACAGCTGATAAAGGTCACCACATGCAACAGAGCATTTCCCTTAAGTCCTGGTGGCAGTCGAGTGAGGACCTTCTCCATCCATGGCATTCCATGGTCCCTGTATTTCTCCAGGGTCCTGGAATATGCAAGGAAATGCCTTTCAATTTCCATGCAGGCCTGCATGGTCATTGCTGCCACTTTGGAAAGAGGAGAAGGTTGGTGGTCTCCTAGGTGGACCTGGACAAAGTCCTTGAAATTCCACCACACCTTCTTGTGGCCCTTGATGTCTCTGAACTTCATGGCTGGGAAAAAATTAATCTTCTCCTCCACAAATCCTTGAAACAGACAAGACTCCACATCTTTTCCTGCTCTCCCCACCAGGATGCGAGCCCTTATGAAAGTGTTAGGCACAGGAAAGCTGTCTTTGGTAGCTAGATCTTTACAAAACTCCTCCAGGGACAATGAGCCAATCAGTCTACCTGGTGGTGAATCACCACAGAGATTGGAGAGTGGTAGCTCTGTGTTTCTTTTGTAAAGATCACCCAGCAGCACTTTGATGAGAGCTCAACCGGTCACAGATGGTGCTGCATGAAGGACCTGACACAGAGGGAAAAGACGCTCTATGCGCATCTTCTGAAGCTCATCACGTGTCCAGTGATGGAGTGGTGGAGTACATTCTTCCGAAGTTGCATTTGAGTGAGCTGTTAGGCCCAGGAACCCCCTCTGATTGGTCAAACTTTTCTCACTCACTGTGTTAGTGCCCAGGCTCACACTGAGGTGAAAGTCCAGTGGTGAGAGAGAACGACCATAGAAGAGCTCTTCCAGTGCCAACTCACACTGGAATGACTTCCAGCTGGCGTCAAATGATGCAATTCCCTCACAGGTCGGAAATTTCCAGGATTTCTGGATCTTTTTGGCCAAACTGATTCAAAAACACCTTTGACTTGCTTGACTTTGAAAAGTCCGTATCTCGGCGAGGGAAGGTCGTAGAGACTCGGGGACACGTCCAGCGTGTTCAGCGCGGTCGAATTATGGCAGATGGAGCCCGTCTACGACGTCTCCGGGGTTATTCGTGTTTGAAGTCATACAGCAGTGCCAGTAAGATCCTCCTGAACGAGTAACTGTGTCTATGTAAACAAAGCTAGCTTAACGCTAACAAAACAGCACTGAAAATGTGAGTTTGAGTACTGGCAACTGTTTTTGTTGGGGGTATATTTTAATTTCACTGTTATTTCACTGACTAGAATGTATAATAATCATTATTCATTATATCATTATATTACTGCAATTTCCCAGCTTGGGATCAATAAAGTATATCTATATCTATCTATCTATTCTGTTCATAGGTTATAGTACAGACAGTTATAGAATAATTAAATATCCTCAGACGGGTCAATACGGGTCCGTAGCCTGAAGTGTGTCAATCTGGGGACATTTAAGTGATATTTAACTCCAGAACACAGACATTTCATCAAAGTATTCATTCAATGTATTATTGATTCCACTGTTCTACTGTGTGTTTATCTGTTGATCTGGGTGGTGACCTGCTGCTTACGTTTGCATATACAGGTTTCAATAAAGCTGTATTGAACTGAATATGTTATATGACACATTAGCTACAATATCAGAAACCCAGTAGACAACAATAATATAATATGGATGTTGTGAAATGGATCATGTGAGTAAAAAAACTAAATTAATTCAGCACAAGCACAGCGGTGCTGCAGCAGTGTCTGATCGCACTTCCAGAAGAAACAGAAGGAGTCATTTCAGTTAAATTACGGTACATTTTTACGGTTAAAATTCAGTAAAATTAAAATGACTTATTAAAGTGCCTCTTTCCGTTATATGGAACATCAGAACTGTTATATCAGTCTAACTTTAAAGGCTCCAGTGAATCAGTGTAAGAAATCAAACTACAGACAAACTGCATAGATCGACTACGGCAGGAAAACTTCACGTAATTCAGTTGATGATCGCCATATAAGGCTTACTTCCTGTTTCCAGTAGGTGGCGCTATGACTATGACTGAATATTGGCTTGTAGATGTGTTCAGGGCGGGACTTTTATCAAACAGACAACTTCCTGTTTCATGGCGGGCACGCCCTTTAACACACATTTACAAATAGCACAACTTTTAATGGTGATGGTCTTTACATGGCACTGACCAAATATAAAGTTGATCAGATCAATTCTCTAGGAGGAGTTTGTTAAAATAGACCAAATCACCAAAAATGACCACTAAATTCCAAATTGGCTGACTTCCTGTTGGGTTTGGGGTTGTGGTCCAGGAGGAGTTTTTGTACATCTGTACGTAATAGGTGTGTGTACCAATCTTAATTTATATATTGGTGAAACTGGGCTGCTCGTTAGGGGGCGCTGTTTGCCACACCCGTAGAATACGTGAATTTTGTTCACCAACTGTTCACATCCATTATTGATCTTATACTGATTTTTTATGACTATTTAAATGTTTTTTTGCTGCTGTGCGACAGGACATCAACCTACCTGGACGTGATGAGTGGAAGGATGAGCATCTTCAGCATCCTCATCAGCAGCTCTCCGGGAAAAGAGAAGTAGATCTTTGCCTGCGGTGATAAAACAAAACACACCTTCCTTTCAAAATAAGACTTTATGGATCAGTTTTGGTCCTGAATGCAGAGACTCTCTGGAAATGATCTGTTAAAACACATTTTAATTTCTTCATATTTATGGGGGTTTTCTCGCTTATTTTATAGATTTTTTCTGTATTTTTTAAATTCATGGAAATATTAATAAAATTAGGAAAACATCCTGTGAATTTACATCTCTAATGTAAAATAACATGAAAAATTAAACTGTAAATAATCATACAGTGACTTCTTATTTAAAGATTAGTAGAAAAGAAGATTAAAATACATACTTTTTATTACTATTATTATTTATTTTTACATGGATAATAACAGCACTCTTTAAACCTGATTATTTGTATTATAGCAGTAAGATTTTATTTAAGATTAAAGCAAAAACTATAGGAGTCTCAAACTCAGATTGTTTTGGGGCCGAAATATTTGTATTACTAACATCATACTTACATCATATGAAAAAATGCAAACACCTGTTTCTATATATTTTTATATCGTCATAAAGGCCTGAAACTTGGTCTTATCAATGCTTTATATGACCTCTGCCATTATTTTGCAGCAAATGAAAAACATTTTAAGGAAGAATTTATTTATTTGTATAGGAAGGGGTAATTTAATCTGATATAAAACAACTAGAAAAAAATATTTATTATCATTTAAAAATAATAATCTTGCCAGATTAGGGAAATAAAATTTGAATTTAGATTTAGAGAGAGTGACTAAACCAGGTTTAATCTTCAGTTATCTGCTTTGTACTAAAATCAATAATTAAAGGTGCTGTAATGTATTCTCTGTTAGAGGACTGAGACCCTGTTACCCACCTATTTAACACTTATTTTAACAAAAAATAAATCACTCATTAAAACACTGACACATTCGTCTGAAAGCTCCTGGTGATTTACACTCTCTTCCTCACCATGAACATGTGACGGTTACTTAAACCTTTAACACTGAGAGACATTTTAATGCCGCACAGCTACTCCAAAATAAAAAATCTTTACATTAGAAATAAGAATAAATTTAGTCTAAGTGGTTCCAACCTCCATGTTTCTGTCTCTGACATCAGCCGGTGTTGGACGTCGTTACCCAGTTCCAGGTTTAGGTTTAAGGTTACGGGGTTAAGGAACTTATAGGACACTGTGAACATAAATATGCTCCTATT